AATTATGAGGACTGGGTACCTTACAGACACATCTGGCCATAGAGTCTGTGAAAATGTAAACCGGAAATTCTGTTCCTTTTGTCAGACAGTACTTCAAGATGCGCCGGAATAGATTTGGAGAGGAAGATTGGGTTAACATCAAGTGGAAGCCTGGCAAAATAACCCACACTTTCCAGAAAGATGCCACCAGTTCTTTGTTATGCTGGTGATTGTATGCAAAATCTTTTCTTCTCTCTTTTCTTATTCTTTTCTCATCTAACACAGGGTTTATTGCTGCTGGTGAAAATCTCCCCAAGAATGTCTCGTAAGGTGGTGCTCTCTGAAATGCCTGAATCAGTTGAACACTTAAAAAACATTCTTATATAAAATCTTGAACTTCAAGGTAGCTTCACACTACAATTTGAAGATCCAGACTTTAATAACGCTCTCTGTAATTTGATTGATATCCTCGAGTTGCCACCGGAACGTGCCATCTTGCACATTCTTTGGGATGATCCACCTACACTTGCTCAGCAAGAGTCAGACTCTGTTTATTCAGGGTCTTCCCTGGACACAGCCAGCATATCCAATAGAGAGTCAGCCCAGAGTCTTTCAGGTTTAATCTGCGACTACCTTTTGAGTGTATCCAGATGGTTTTCACCTTTTCCCATTCCAGCCTTCTCCTATGATGTGGAATTAAAGTTGCGTGCAGGCAATGAAGCATATGAAAGGACCAAGAAGGGCATCGACCTAACAAGAGACATGAAGATGGACATTTTGGACAAGATTGCTCAAACTGTTTTTGAAGTGAAAGCCTACCCTGACCAAGACCAGATTGGGTCAGTTGCTTTGGTTCTTGTCAGTAAGCACCCCTACCTTCGAGAACCGGGCAGTGGAACAGGGTATGATGGATGGAAAATGAGCATAAAATACAACTTGGTAATTACAGGTCCAAGTTACAGGGAAGGTGTATCGAGGTCAGCATTAATAGGAAAAGACGATGCGATAAAGATGATACTGCAGGTTTTTCTTTGAAGAAAGCAAAGCGAGGGGAAATTAATCATGTCCCTGACCATCCAAATAATCACACTGAAGACTCGC